CCCTAATTTTCACCAAGCTTTCATTAAAATACATTCGAAATCCATTCGAAAACAAAATCTAAACTAAAAATCACCAAACTCGACTAAAACGAGTTCCATAAGGCTAAATCCGAAAATCTAAAGTAAGTTTCAAAGAGTTTTACCTCGATCCAAGCTTTGATGTTGAAAACCTCTTGGAAACCTCCGTTTTTGGTTTAAATCCAGCCCTTGAGAAAGAAAACTTTGAGATAGAGAGGGAGAGAGAGAGAGAGAGAGAGAGAGAGAGAGAGAGAGAGAGAGAGAGAGAGAGAGAGAGAGAGAGAGAGAGAGAGAGAGAGAGAGAGAGAGAGAGAGAGAGAGAGAGAGAGAGAGAGAGAGAGAGAGGGAGAGAGATAGAGAGAGGGAGAGTGAGCTCGAGAGACTGATAGGGAGAGAGAGTGTGTGTGTGTGTCGAGACAGAGAGAGAGAGGGAGAGTAACATGAGGAAGAGAGAGGAAAAAGAATTAAGGAAAAAGAAAAGAAGAGAGAAAAGGAAAAAGAAAAATTGGAAAGAAAATATTAGGAAAAATAAATAAAACAAAGTGGGGTGAAACTGCAAATACCAAAATAAATTTAAAAGTTCATGATTAATTAAGAAAATCAATTCAGGCACACTAATAAACCACAATTATCATAATTAAACAAGATTAATTCCGGATGGCGTTACATCACTACTTGCCGTATGGTACGTATGAAGTGCTAATTATTTTTGTCCAAATGATACGAATACAAATTATTCATATGCATACCTAATCCATATGACCTACCTACCTACATACGTACATATAAATATACATATGCTTTCATACATGTAGATATAGTATTTACTTATTAATGAGTATTATTATTTTAACTATGAAATATTAAATATATATATATATATATATATATATATATTATATATTCTATTAAAAAAGTATATATAGACATATCTCTAATTATTCATGCAACATTACTAAGTATGTCATTAACCTTTTTTTTCGCTCAATTCGTTGTGTGAAGATATGTGTGGTGCTTTAAGTGGACATTGGGTTCTATCTTCTGAATTGAATTGTTCTCACATTCCAGAGTCTCGAGATTTCCAAAAAATGGTAGGACCGGGATGGCATGAGCTAAAGTATACATGCCTAATTTGTAGCTAAATCTGGCAAGACTGATTTTATAGAAAATTCTAGCAAAATAAGATAAAATAAATAAATAAATAAAAACCGAACTATAGAACAGATCGTACATGTGGTCTCAAAAGCAAGTGTTTTTTAGTATAAAATTCTAGGGGATATAAATATCAAGATCCATTAACAATTATTTATGTATAAATTGGGAAACAAGAGGATGGGTCAAGGAGGTAGTGGCTTATGTATACTACTTTGGTGGTTCATTAATATTCTTGATTTTGGTAACTAATCAAAATTTTCTTAATGCAGTACTAATGAGGAATTTTAAGTTGAGAAAACTAATATGAAATTTCGAATAATCAGTACGAATGACTGACAACCATCAACAATTTGACCCTACTTTTAACATAAATTTATTTCTGAATTGTAGATATTTAATCGTATAATATGCTAATACCTAACCGAAAGTAGTTAAAGACAGCAAAAGAGAACCTCTTTTTATTCCATGATTCCATCCTTGTGATCAAGACTTTGTACCCCATTACTTGATATCTTTAATTTAAAACTTGTGTGCAGTGCCTTTCCAGTTTGCACTTTAAAAATAAACTCCACTTCGATATATCTGCTTCCAGATGAAAAACTAAAATCCTTGATACAGGAGATAATTGTATTTTTGTAAATATCTAGAATTTAGATTTTGAATTTCAATATAATTATTAGGTAGTTTCTCATTAGTTACCTACCTTATTATTCAAATATTTGAATTATAAATTACCAAGATTAGATATCTTTATATATATATATATATATTCAATCAATTCAATGGAAAGGTTATGCCATAATTCCTCTAAAATCTCTCTTTATCCTTAATTATAATTATAACTACACACTCATAGTCTCACACACACAAGCAGAATACAATAGGTGTGCACAATGTTATGCTGTGGAGCTCTCCTTGATAATCATTTCTTTATGTAGAGGTATTCTTGGATCGACCTTGTAAATTTAGTTGTTCAAATTTTTCTTATATAAAGAGAAGCACCTGATTTTAGGATTGTTTGAGAGGTAGGTTTGAGATAATAGAGAGAGTTAAGAGGGTGTACGATTTTTCTCTTATAAACTTCTACTCCATTATAGTAAATTACCATAGCAGCCGAAAAATAACATAATCTCATATTAGGGTAAGAGCCCGTTTGGTTGGAGGATTCGCTCTCTGATTCGAATCATGGTTCATGGTTCGCTCAGTATTTTCTCTCACAAAAAATACACATAAATCAAAAATAGTTATAATCTCATGGTTCTAATCTATCAACCAAACGGACTCTAAATCTTTATGAATTTTATATGTTCATTTTTATTTGATTTTATGCAATTTTACTGCTCTCGGTAATATAGAATTAGGACGTCTGATTCTTAATCCACAATATCACACATTCGCTTTTTTTTTTCCTTGTTTTATTGTTGGGCTGGAGCTTGGTCTTTTTCACTAAATGTTTTGAATGCTATATATCTTTCTTAGTTTGTCATGATCATCAATTTTCCTTCTAACTACATCATCAAGTACTTAGGATAGTGTTGAATAAAGGAGATCACGTGAAGCTTACAAAAAAAAAATCATAATTTTTTAAAATATTGACACAAATACTAGTTATGGAAAAAAAAAATACATGCAATAGATCTTTATTATACCAGTAAAAGAATTCAGGCGGTTCTTCTAGAATGGCGCTTTAAACAATAATAGCTGCACAATTAATTATTTAAGGTCAGTTTGTGCTTGGGGCCTATTTCTGGAGACTATTTTTAGATGATATATTATACAAAAGGTTCTCTAATTAATGAACAATCTACTGGATTATGCTTACATATATATTTCGTTAAGTATTAACTAATCATATTATTATAATATGTTGTGTACTAATAATAAACAAATGAGTATGTGGTCACACTACATATGCATACAATACAATAAACAATAATCCTGATAAAAACCCTAGATACTTGGAAGTCCTTTTGAGGAACTTATTAGTAGAAGAAAATGCTTCCTCTCTTTGTAGGCCACAACCCACTTTTTGTTAAGATTCTCTCTCTTTCCTTTTTTTAACCTTTCTCTCTAAGAAGCATCTGATCTGATTTTGTTTCAGTTTGAAAAATATGTATCTAGAAAGAAAAATATATTATAATTCTATTATTTAAGTAATAATCCCTTCTTTATTATTCTAAGTGAGTCTCCTTAGCTCATAAATTATTGAAAGTTTGGCAACTTGGTTTCAAGAGAATTATTCTTCTTGTCCAATGTCCAGCTTTGAGCACACTTGAGCCTTTTAGCCTAAAAAAAGGGTATGTATTTCCAGCTTTTGCACGTTGATTTTTTGTTCTAAAAGTCCAGCTGGATAGAGGATTAAAGCTTTTTCATTGTGGGCTGCAGTGGAGTCCTGTGATACTAATTTCCAATTGAAGTATTAATATAACCAATTTGCCAATGATCACTAGGTGAAAGGTCATGGGATAGAGTTTGAATTTGGTAGGGAGCGGGTTAGATCTTCATTTTATATAAACACCTAATTTGTTTATTGAACGCCAATAAAATGATTTCTTTTTTAAAAGGCTTTTATTTTTCTCTTTTCAATTTTTATTTGGCTGAATAAAATGGATATCATTAGTGTCATTTCGTCCATCCCTATCATCTTTAAAATAAATATTAAGGCTATTGATAAATAGAATAAAAATAGTCGGACCTAATTTTACTTGAAGGATGAGTCAAGTATTATTTTAGCATACCATCGTAGGTCCGATACCCCTTAAGTCATTAAACGGACAAGACCTCTTCTTTCAGTTACCAAGCATCAAATCTAGGCACATCCTGAAAAGAGAAGATGTAAAGACATTTCTATTGCTGAACTACCCCATTGTGGTTATCATACCAAGAGGTTGGTACAAAGAAAAAAACAAAACAAAACAAAAAACAAAAAACATTGTTGGTTAATGAAGCAAGATAATTTTACTAACAAACGGGATAGGCTATCAAGGGGAAGAGGGGAAAAAAAAAAAATCATTGCTTGTCATTTGTCAAGCTTATGTGAGCAACCTGAATGTGAGCCTCAGGGTAATAGTTAACCTGGTAAACATAACAGGTCTACTTGGTCTACTTGGTCATGAGTTCTGGGCTTGAGTTTGCAGTTCTTATCTGTTTACTTTTTGCAGTTTATTATTGGGTTTGTTATTTTGCTTAGGCCCACAATATTGAACCCACTGGACATAGGATTGGATATATTATAATTAATCATGAGAAAATTATAAAATTTATTTTTTATATGGATTTTTACCCTTCATTTTTTATTAATATTCTTTTATTAGTATAGTTATTTAATTAAAAAGATTATTAATTAAGAGTAAAAGACAGAAATCTTTATTTATATACTTTTAAGGGGTATTTATATTCTTTTCTCTTGGATCATTGAAGTTTAATATGGCTTGTGTTGTTATCTTATGTAGAGTCGATGAATATGATAAATTTGCAAAACGAAAACATATGAAGATCCAATTCTTCTTTTCTTTTTCAAAAAAAAAAAAAGAAGAAGCATCTAGTAAGAAATGAGCATTTTATGTATGAAACTTGTGGACCCTCACAATTTACACGTCCTCAGCTATTAACAAAATGAAAATAGGCACTCAGCATTGAATAGAGAGTCGTTTGAATTGACATGTGATTATTCAAGTTATACTGGCAAAGAGAAAGTATACCAAACTGGGAAACAAAAGAGTCTCACACACTTACAGCTATGATTTAATTCTTTTCAACAAATTAGTACATTTGGTAACTACAGAGGAAATATAAAGTAAAAAATAAAATAAAATTCCATAGCATGATCATATTGCTCTTGGAGGTTTCTCCAACAATGCTGAAAGGTAAACTTCATCCTTGGACTTAAGAGAGATAGCCCACTTGTGTTTCTTGTACCTAAACTGCAGAAACATGTACATGAAATCATCAAGATCCTGTCTTTTGCAGAAGAACCGGTCGATCCACAACAACCCTCCAGGCCTCAGAATTCGATCCCAATCGAACAGGATAAAGTCCAACAACAGCAAGTCTATCCAGCCATCAAGGAACCCGGCGGTGTGAATCAAATCCATCGTGTTATCGAAAAAAGGAAGGCGCTGGTTCAACGTCACATAAAGCGGAATTAGTCCTCTAAGTGCAATCATCTCATTGAAAGGAGCTCCAAGGTTAAGAGCAGTTGATATGATTGTGACATTCCTTTCTCTCATCCTTGCTGCAAAAGTCCCTGTGCCAACACCAAAGTCAAGGCCAATCCTTATCTCCCCGCGCTTAATTGTCAAAGCATCACTGATCAGGAAATCAACAGGGAGTGAGCTATTTGTCACCCATTTGAGCTTCTCTTTCTCCATTTCGAAACACCCCGTGCATTTCGTGTAACCCCTTTTTGGATTCTTACTCGACAAGCACTGGAAGTTCCTGCACTGGTAATTTCCCCACCTCACATTCCTATCATCTGGAAGTTTCCAAAGGGACTCGTTGATGGGATATGGCTTCTGATAGACCTTGGACGCTCGTGTCAAGTACCGCCTCCGGGGCAACGGATCACAACCATTGAGCATCAGCTTTTGTGCCAAATTCCAATCATCATCACAGTAAGAGCCAATGTCATAGTCCATGTACTGCTCCAACTCTTTCTTGTACAACACGCATGAATGCCCTATGGTGTTGAATATCTTCTCGGTCCTGTAAATGTTTTTCTTTCCAACTCTGTTCTCTTTTGGGGTTATGTATTTCCTGATCTCTTCAGTAATGAAATCATTGATCAAAGGATCTTCCTTCATTGTTTGGTTTCTCAGTCCTTCAAGCTTGGGCAAACGTATCTGTCTAAGAGCAATATGAGCATTATAAAGAGGCCTAATCACTTCCTCCTCCAAATACTTCTTGTGTTCCAATTTTGTAATTGTAGTTTTGTCCAATACCTCTTTGCTCTTCTCCATTTGTTGCACGACCAACTCAAGCTTTTGTTGCAAGCTTTCCATCTTGTCTAGCACTTCCCCGACGCGATCGGATAAGGCTACAATGTCAAACCCTTCATAAGCGTCCTTATCGGCAACATAGAAATCCTTCTTCAAAGGATAAAATTGTCTGCATATGTCTTCATTGTGCAAGAAAAATCCAGCATAATAGAACCTGAGTAGACTTGTTATGCTAACAATTATAACAAGCCCTCCCAATGCAATTTGAAGCCAACCCAATATCCTACTCAATCTGCATTTTGGAAGGCATGACCTTTTCATCCTTGATAGAGCAAAATGTAGAAGCTTTCTGCTCACGAAAATTTCTCAATTCTTTCCTTTATTTTCTCAGGTTTTCAACCTAGTCAAAGATCCTCAATGAGTCATGATGAATGAACTAGACATTGATTATATAGATAAATATAATTATATAAGGTTAATCATAAGAGACATGTGAGCAATATTGTTCTACTTGAATAAATGTTTGAGAAAGTGTGGGAGAAAAAATTAGAAAAAGAGAAGTAAATCTGAGAGTTTAATTACTTGAATTTCTACTATATTCCTCAAGGGTCACTTGAAATACTATTTTTTTATGAATCAACAAGGTGAAAAATTGCATGGTCTTGGAAAGGACAAAGCCAAAGAAGTTTTTTTTAAAAAAATAAAAATAAAAAAATAAAAAAAATAACGAAAGATCAGAACAGAGAAAATAAAGAATTAAGCAAGATAAATCTCTTTATCATGGAAATTTTATTTTAAAAATTTTTTATTTTCCCTCAGTTTCCTCTAATCACCCATTTTCCCACCAAGCAAACAGAATCTAAAGAAAGAAGTTGCATTCAAACGTCTAAATCTTAAATGATTAATCAAAAGAGAATACTGAGAATAGATCTAAACATACCCACATGAAGAATTTTCAAGTACATGCATCAAAGTGAAGCTAAATAGCCCTTTCTTTTGAACAAGCTGAAATATTACCTACTTTTTCTACCAAAAATAAACTAGAGAAAAACTTCAGACCTCATTCTGATACACTTTTCTATCAAGCTTTTTGGAGCTGGAAATTCGTAATGTTTAAGCTTACAATTTGAATAATGAAATTTAGTCAAGTTTATGTATAGAGTTCTTATTGCAAGCTGATTACTTAAATAGTAAACTCATATAACTTTTTTGCTTGTTGATCAAGAGACAATAAGGCACGAATCTCAATGGAGAAACCCATATGAAAAATCACTTAAATTTATTGGAAATTTCAAGAAAATTATTTGTTTAATGTGATTGGGGCGTTGACTCCGATCTAGGAGAGTGATGAGCTTAAATTGCGGAAGTACATTTGATTTGTTTATTCGTGCTCTTAATTAATAATAACAATTTATCTTGCTAACCACAATTTTCTTCATTAAAAAATTATTGAATTTTGTACTAGCAATGTGTTCAAAATGAGTGAACAACAATTGTGCACGTTTCATGTTAGGCCGATTAACCCGAACTAACCAAAATATATTGCCTCAAACAATTGTTTGCTAATGTTAGTTAGTGTTAATTAGTGTTTAATTTTTTTGGATTAATTACAAAAACTCTCCTGACTTATATTCTTCGTAACACTTTACCTCTTGATTTTTAAAATGTAACATACATTCCTTTGAACAATGAAATGTTAACAAAAAAACATATCTGATAGATTTTTAACTGAAATTGACATTTAATTTATTATTTTAAGAGTATTTGGTAATTCTATTGTTTATAATTTTATTTGAATTTACATTAATTTAAATATTCCAAAAATTTATAAACTTTTTTATTCTAAAAAAAAGATTCATAAAACTTTTAACTTACACTAATGAATAATAGATATATCATATTAAAAGTTCAAATTTAAATTAGTTTTAAATTCAAACTAAATTTTAAACTATAGAGCTATCAAAATATCACAAAATAACAAATTAAATATCAATTTCCATTGAAAAAACCTAACAATGGGGATTTTTTGTTAATATTTTATTGTTCACGAAGAACGGATATTATGTTTCAAATATTAGGGAGTAAAGTGTTACAAGAAGTATAGTTCAGAGGAAATTTTTGTAATTAATCTTTTTTTTATGGTAGCTAATTTGTATTTGATTAACTCATACATCAGGTTTTATAATGATAGTTGTTGTGTTAGACCTTAACCTAGCCGTCCTTTCAAATTTTTGAGCTTTAACTAGTGTTTTTTTTTCATAGATTTAAATATAACTGAAAGTTTGAACCGTCTATCTGACCTAAACGGAATTTTTGAGATGGGTTTGGAAGGTCGGTCCAGCCCGACTGGCTCGGTCTTTTATAAGGGAGAAATAAAAAATTAAAATTAAAAATACTTCGGGCAAGCTGATCTTGTTAAAAAAACTATTGGGCTCGAAACTTCAGCCCAACCTGCTTGGGGATTCAGGCCGGGACTGGGCCTACAGTAATAGGCTTCAAGCTCAAACTTACAGCTCTAAGTTTGAATAGAAAATTTAAACTGGTATTAAATTTTTGTTAAAGAAACAATATAACAAAAAAATTGAATTGGGATTCAAACTTATGAAAATATCTCCTAGGGTTAATCTCACTGGTGCCCCTGAACTTTGAGGTCATTCTCAATTTGCCCACTGAATTTTAACAACTCCTATTTTGTCTCCTAAATTTTGTAGAAGTCTCACTTTAACCCTTTTGTAAGGATTTCTATTAAAAGCAGACAGAAGAGAGAGGTTAAGTGTAATTATTTGGTTTTTATTAGTTTGTTTTTAATATAAATTCTGACCGAAAGGCCACATAACTGTATTACTCTCTTTTTTCTTATATTTTTAATATAAATTCTAACACAATGGGTTAAATAGGAAGAATTCAAAATTCATGAAATAAAATAAGAGTTTTTAAAGTTTAAAAATTAAACTAAAAATGACCATCAAAATTTAAGAGGGATTGGTGAAAATAATCCAAATCTCTTATCATCCAAGTTTAATTTTTTTATTTTTCTTTCTCCTGATAGAAATTAAAAGAAAAACAAATTTGATAATAATAATAATATTCTAGCAAATAATAATAATAATAATATTCTAGCAAATAATAATAATAATAATAATAATAAATGAAAGAGAAAACCATACTCTTGTCAACTAATCTCTTTTATTTATGTCTTTTTTTAGTTTTTGCTCATAAAATAGTCTAATAAAAAATAATATTATGGAGCTGTCGATTATTTTTTTTTCATTTTAATTTTTACTCGTTTCTTTCTTTTTTTTTAAAAAAAGAAAAAGAAAAATTTGCTCATTTGTTATATCTAATAAAATAGTATTGTTACGAGGCTTCAATCTTTGGGAAATTCCGCATCACTTCCAAATGACACAAAAGTGGGACCTTAAGAGCATCTCTAATATAATGTTATAATTGATATGTTAATTGTAAATTTAACATTTGAGCGTAAAAAATATTTTTTAATGCAATGTTATTTGTTGTCTTAAATTTCTCATATGCTCATATGCTATACTTTGTAGGAAATTTGTCATTTGATTTCTATTAGTTGAAATGTTTAGGCATTTGAGTTCTATTGGTTAAAATGTTTACTTTTTCATGTAACCATACAACTTTTACATTTTCTAATTATTCTAAGGGATCTTTTCTGGTACGCTAATATGCTGGTAGGCTAAATTTTTTGTCTATCAGATCTGCATAAAATCACGTAAAAGTCAAAAAGTACGTAGATCTAACGATTTAAAAACTTAATCTGCCGATACATTAGGCCTACCAGAGAATCTTCCTTATTTTAAAAATGAAAGTTTACTTTTACAACTTTAAAAGCTTAATGATTAGGGAGATTCTCTAGTATGTCGGTGTACTGGTAGGCTAGGTTTTTCTAACTATTGGATCTGGGTACTTTTTGACTTTTACATGATTTTATGCAGATCTGACGGACAAAAAACCTGGCGTATCAGTATGTTGGCGTGGATAAGGTCCTTAATAATTATGAGAAAATGTGGATTTAGTATTTTAAATAGCATTATATATTAGAATAAAAATAAAAATAACATATCATATTATATTTTTTAAAGCAAGCTGCCAGCCAGCCTTATAGAGATGTTAAATAAAAGAACCAAAAATGGGAAAATGGTGGTGTTCGACAGTAGTTTAGGGTAGTACGAAAGGATCTAATGGAAACTGAAAGCACACAGTTCCATTTGAAGCAAATATCTACAGCTATCCCGATGAAAAAGACGCCTAAAAATAGAATGGAAGGTTATGGAGAACTACTTGGTGGCAGGTCTAGCGCTCTAACAGAGCTCAGTACATGCCATTCCTTACAAAGCAAAATGATTGGACAAAGCAGAGATGTATTGCAATAATAGCCCGAAGTATAAGGAGATTGAGACAATGCTCTAAGATATATGATAATTAAAACACTTCCCCAGGTCCGAAGCACACCTGATCGCATGGGATCATATTAAATGCTCTGAATATTTCCATTCTCAAAGGTCTAATCACGGCGTCATACTTGTCAGGTCGGAGTCATGCTATTTCTGGCTAAGCAGCCATCATTCTGAGCACCTGACATAAATTGCTTCGAGGAACTTCAGTAGGCAAACTAGAGGTATGCACAGGAACTCTCTCGAAGGCAAACGCAAGATAGCTCCGAGGCGGAAGTCTGGCATAAGAAAAGCCTCTGTTGAGCTAGAATATGTCGAAGAAAGACCTTTTGGCGGTAGGGAAGGTTTTAAAAGATGAGACTCGAAGACACACAAAGAAGTAGACTTTAACGAGGCGTTTTGAGCTTCCCACGCAAGGAAGGCTTCGGAAAGGTTGAAGACTCCATCACTCATTCATTCTTAACTTGATTAATTTAGGAAATCCCCCAAGCAGGATTCAAACTAATACGAAAGTTAAGAGATAAATGGGCCCACTTGATTACCCATGGCACATCAAACCATGGTCCACGAAGGTTCTCCAAGCGTGACCTGGGTCCACGAAACAAGCCCGACAGTGTCGCGGGATACAGATTATTAGGTCTAGACCTTTGTACAAGCTTGGTACTAAATAAGCCATCAACAAAATTTAAATTAGTGTTAAATTCAAACTAAATTTTAAACTATAGAGCTACCAAAATACCCTAAAATAAAAAATTAAATGTCAATATCCGTTAAAAAACTTAACGGAGGGAGCTTTTTTGTTCACATTTTATTATTCAGGAGGAACAGATATTACGCTTTAAAGGTTACGGGGTAAAATGTTATATGGGGTATAGTTCAGGAGGAGTTTTTGTAATTAAT